AATTATGGATGTGGAAATGATATTGTTAATTGTAAGATTGACATGAATTATGAATATGGAAATGATGTTGTAAATTGTATAATTGGTATGGATTATGATGGATTGAGATATGTATGTGAAATGAGATATGTTATATGTGAATTGAGATATGAAGACGATGAATGATAGATAGATATATATATATATATATATATGAATGTCAATAGACATTTTTCAATGTAGGTTAATATTTTTTATTTGAATTGAAATAAAATGTAGACAAATTAGTAAATATTTTAAAAGCTTTTTTTAAAAAATGTTGACAATTTTTTTGAATGTTAAATTTTTTTATTTTAAATTATTTTTAAAAAATACTACTATTTTATTTTTGGTTATCAGTGAATTATTATGGGTTATTTTTTAAAAATATTTTTATTTTTGTAAATTGTGAAAATATTTTAAATGATCAACTCTTAAAATAAATACATTTAAAGATATTAATTTTTTTATTATTTATAATTTTTTAAAAAAATATAGAGTCATTTAACAAGTTGGAACAATAACCATACTAATAATATCGTTACTGATTGTAATTGTTATATTATAGATTTATTTATATAATTATTCTCTATTTTATTATTATTACTATTATTAATTAACATTAATTAATAAATTATATTTATATGTTAATATCAATCATATTACAAATTATTATTAATTTATAGGTAATGCATATTGTGCTTCTGATGAATGATTCGTGATGGGTTGGACGGGTTCGACTATTCAGTAGTCCGGTAAGAGGTCATTTGTCTTTACTGATAAGGATATAAAACTGATATCCCATTAGTCAGTTCATAAGAAGAAAAAATATTTTTATCTTTTGTCTTTTCACCTCCTACCAAGAAGAGAGCTGATGGAAATATGTCAAGGCCAAGAAATCCAAGAAGTGATACAGAAAAGGAACCAAGAGGAATGAGATGATTTTGAAGTCCTTTTCATATGTTTGTAAATATAGTAGTTACTTGTATATGTTTATTTTGCCTTTGTATTTGTAAGGAACTTTATTTCATTTTTATAGAGCATTGTATATTGTTTCTAGGGTAAGTTACTTGGAGACTTTGACTCCATTTAACCTTGTATTGAAGGTCACTTTTTTTTTCTATTTTTTTAGTAGTAAAAGTGGGGTGGCAATTAGCAATGCTTAAGGGTGTGACTAGTAATTGGGCCAGAATTGGGCCTAGGCAAAATTTTACATATTAGACTTGTTTTGCTCCTAATTTTTCAAGGATTTGATTTAGCTAGGTCTCATCATTTTTGGATGAACCTAACTAAACCAAATCAAACATTTTTGAAACGGATTTAGTGAGCAAAATAGTCTAAGGCCGCCTAGCTTGCCTTATTCCTTCCTTGGCCGAATTGCTTCTCCTTTCCTTAAAGCTTTGGGAAGCTTGTGCTACAAGCTTCTAACTTAGCTTGCTTCCCAAGAAAGCTAAGATAGAAGCTTGCTCCACAAGCCTCCTAAACTAGGTTGGATGGTCAAGCAACCAAACCATGGTTAAGGTTAGCTTGCTCCATAAGCTACCTAGTTCTATAAATTTGTAAACCTTCCATTTTTCCTCACTTTTGATGAATGAAATTAGAATTTCTAAAAGAATTCTCTCTTCTCAAAGTCACTTTAGCCGTGGAGAACTTTCTCTCCTAGTTCCTTCACAAAGGTTTCCACCTTTGGGTCTTGGAACCTTGTCTCTTTCTACCTCTTCAAGGAGTAACCGAGCACTCCTTAATGCTTCTTCATCATTGGAGTTTCTTCAAAGGTGATTCTTCATCATTCGCGTGTCTAACCTCAAGAGAAGAAAGGGATTGAAGGTGGAGCTTGAAGAACGTCAACCATTCTTCAAGGCTATTCCATCATTTTTGGTATCTAGAGCCTTGGTTCTCTTGATGTAACATCCCGAATTTTCTAATTGTATAATGGTTAATTATTATTTATTTTTATATTTATGGAGATTATTTTCTTATAGTTATTTAATGGGTTTTATAGGATGTTTTAAAGGTTTTTAATAATTATTAGTATTTTAATTATAAATATTTATTAAAATTATTTTTGATAATATTTTGATTTTTAGTAGCCTAGAACGGGCCGTTCTCAAACTAGAACAGGCCGTTTCAGACTACTAAAATAGCCTATAAAGACTAGACTGGAACAAGTCATTCCAACCCATGATTTTGTGAGTAAAATACGAAGCCAGAACGGGCCGTTCCGATTTGGGAACAGGCCATTCCAAATATCGCCGTTGTAGGTAAAATGTGATTTCAGAATGGATCGTTCTAGTTTTGGAACAGGACGATCTAAATGTGAAATTTACGCATGACGAATGAGTCTAGAACGGGTCATTCCAGATTTGAAACGGACCGTTCTAGCGACTCCTGATTCCTATAAATAGCACACTCGGGCACTCCCAAAAGGACATTTTTTTCACTTCTAATATCTTTTTCTTCTACACTCTCTGAAGACCAAGGAGAACCCAAAGGAGGAGACTAGCAAGATCTTACTTTAGTTTCAGCTCCTACTTATCGAGGTAAGGGGGAGTGAGAAACCTTGCTCTGGGTGTGGGAATGTATGTCGGGTAGTGGGATTGGCCCCCAATCCTATATTTGTTCTATGCTTATTTATGAGGGGTTTTTCCCAATTATATATTTTTCTTCTATTTGCTCTTTTTATATGTAAATAAATGTATGATTTGAGATCTCTATGGGTTCCTATGGGAAATCCTAAGGGAATGCATTGGTGATTGTAAGAGAAGATTGTTTGAAGAGGTAATTGTATGAGTAAATTGTACTATTTTAAATGTTTATTGTATGAATTAGAGTGCTCTGTGGGTTCTTGTGAGAACCCTATGAGAAACAGACATATTTCTAATATTTTCTGTTTTATCTTCTGATTGTTCTGATGTATTCCTTGTTGAATGAGATGTACGAATATGTGTTTACTTTCGCGAATAGACAAGTTTTGATATGAATTAAAGTGCTATGTGGAGACTATGTGAATATGATGAGATATGATGATGACACTAGTACACAAAAGGTCTTTTACGTCGTGTATTTTGACCCTTTTACATCGGAAAAGGGTCTGACGTTAATACGGGAGTCGTAAATT